CTAGTAACCTTTCATGTCCACCCGAAGGACTTGTTTTAGCATTTCTTAGAAGGCAGGTTCCCTGGTAATGAACACCCCCAGGTTTCATGTCTGTGCAAATGAAGGCATTTTATTTTTTAACCATATTTTAATTGGCGTATTGTAATATAACATTGTAACATACATAATGGTTATGTTATACGATATAGCAATATAATTTGGCAAATATTCTTCCTTTCCCTCCCCTCCACCTCACCCTAGTCCTTTCCTCTTCTCTACTGATATCCCTGGGATTTTCATGAGATTCCTCTCTCTCACACCATTCCTTACCTTTTTGCCTCCACATGAGAGAAAGTATATGGAACTTGATTTTTTAGTTTGGCTTATTTTGCTTAACATAGTGTTCTCAAGTTCCATCCATTTTCCTGCCAATGACAGAATTTCTCGTTATGGTTGAATAAAACTCCATGGGTATATATACCACAATTTTCTTTATCCATTCGTCCACTGACGGATGCCTAGGCTGGTTCTGTTGATTGGCTATTGTGAACCATGCTGCTATAATATGGGTATGCTTGTGTTGCTATGGTGTGTGGACTTGACTTCTTTCTTTCTTTATTTTTTTTAAATATTTTTTTTAAGAGTGAGAGAGGAGAGAGAGAATTTTTTTTAATATTTATTTTTTTAGTTCTCGGCGGACACAACATCTTTGTTTGTATGTGGTGCTGAGGATTGAACCCGGGCCGCACGCATGCCAGGCGAGCACGCTACCGCTTGAGCCACATCCCCAGCCCAACTTGACTTCTTTAGATAAATACCTTGGAGTAGTATGGCTGGCCCATATGGTGGTTCCATTCCTAGTCTTTTTTTTTTCTTTTTAAAAGAGAAAGAGAAGAGAGAGGGAGAGAATTTTTAATATTTACTTTTCAGTTTTCGGTGGGCACAACATCTTTATTTTATTTGTATGTGGTGCTGAGGATCGAACCCAGAGCCGCACGCATGCCAGGTGAGTGCGTTACCGCTTGAGCTACATCCCCAGCCCCCATTCCTAGTCTTTTGAGGAAACTCCATACTGAGTTCCATAGTGATTGTACTAATTTACAGTCCTATGGATATTCTAAAAGTGTTGCTTTTTCTCCATATCTTTTCTGGCATTTATTGTCTGTTCTTGATGGCTACCATACTAACTAGAGTCAGAGGAAATCTGAGTGGAGTTTTGATTTGCATTTCCCTAATTGATAATGATGCTGAACATTTTTTTCATATATTTTTTAGCCATTTGTATTTCCCCCCCACAATTTAAAATTTTATTTAGTTGTAGATGGACACAACATTTTATTTATTTTATGTGGTGCTGGGGATCGAACCCAGTGCCTTACATGTGCTAGGCAAGTGCTCTGCCACTGAGGCACAACTGCAGCCCTTCACAGTTTTTATTGGTGCATTATAGTTGTACATTACTGATGGGATTTGTTACATATTCGTACATGCACACAATTGTATTCTTTTGAGAAGTGTCTGTTTAGTTCATTTGACAATTTATTAATTGGGTTCTTTCTTGGGTGTTAAGTTTGAGTTCTTTATATATTCTAGATATCTACCTCCGTCAGAAGAGTAGCTAGAAAAATTTTCTCCCATTCTACAGGTTCTCTCTTCACATTCCTAAGTGTTTCCTTTGTTGGGCAGAAGCTTTTTAATTTGATCTATTCCCTTTATTAACTCTTGGCATTATTTCTTGAGCTTTAGGGGTTCCATTGAGAAAGCTGTTGCCGGTACCTATATATTGGAGTGTTGACCCTAAAATTTTCTTTTGGGAGTTGCATAGTTTCTGGTGTGTGTGTATGTGTGTGTGTGCACACACACACATGCATGCACAAAAAACAAGGAAAAGGGGTCTGGTTTCTTTCTTCTACATATGGATAGCCAGTTTCCCCAACACCAGTTTTAAAGGCTGTATTTTCTCCAGTGTCTGTTTTGGGCACCTTCTGAAGATCAGGTGACTATAGCTGTGTGTGCTTCTGTTCTGCACTGATGGAGTGGTTTAAGTCTCGAGGCCTGTGGAAGCCCTGCAGCTGTCTCGGGGTTAACGTCCTCCGAGCTCTTGGCACACCAGAGCGAGTAAGAACAGCACACTGTAATCAGGACACACTCTGCTGACATGTCAGTCTTGCCATAAGTTCCTCTTGAGACTGAGACTAGCTTCACGCGTTTCCCGTGGTTAACATTATTTGGGGGATATTCTTGTTAATTTGTTCCCCTTGAATTGTGCTTACTCATTGGGCTTAGATCTAAGAGACTAAGGAAATGGCTTATGAACACTGCATTATTTTAATGTTATTCTTGGTATCTTATGCTAACCTCAAAAAGCTTGCTGAGCTGTAAAGATTAACACAAGAGACCTATAAACATAAACATCCTTAGCTTTCCACAGCTTTGGGTCCCCTGCGTCCTGTTTCTCGTCTCGCTCAGTTCCTTGGCTGCACCATTGATTTACGTGTCTGTGTTTGTGGCAGTACCATTCAGTTTTTGTCACTGAAGCTCTGTAGTGATTTGAAGCTGGGTATTAGGATGTCTCCAGCATTGCTTTTTTTGTGGCTCAGAATTGCTTGGCTATTCTAGGTCTTCTTCCAAATGAATATTAGGACGTCCCCCCCCCGAGTTCTGTGGGGAATGTCACTGGTGTTTTGATGGGGATTACATTGAATCTATATGTTGCTATTGATAGTATGATCATTTTAACAATATTAATTCTTCCTATTCATGAACATAGGAGGCCTTTCCATTCTTATGTCTTCAATTTTTTTCTTCATTGTTGTGTAGTTTTCATTTTACAGGTCTCTCGCCTCCTTGGTTAGATTTACTGTGTGGTTTAAGGCTATCATGAACGGGATTGTTTTTCTGATTGCAGTGGATGCATTATTGGTCTATAGGAAACCTATTGGTTTTTTTTTTGTTGTTGTTGTTGTTGTTGTCGTCGTCGTTGTCGTACTGGGAATTGAACCCAGGGGCCTTGAATCTGTGATCCTCCTGCCTCAGCCTCCTGAGTTGCTGGGGTTACAGGCCTTTTGGATCTCCTGAGTATAAGATTAAATCATCTGCAAAGAGTGGTGATTTGATTTCTTCCTTTCCTAATTTTAATCCCTTCTATTTCCTTCTCTTGCTTAATTGCTCTGCTAGAAGTTTTAGTATGTATCGAATAGGAAAGATAAGAGGACATCTTCCTCTGGATTTTTCAGAAATGCTTTCAGATTTTCCCCATTTGTTGTGAAGTTGGCTTTGGGTTTGTTGTATATCTCCCTCATGATGATGAGGTAAGTTCCTTCTAACCCCAGTTTCTTCAGTGTTTTTTTTTTTTTTTTTGTTAAATCACGAATGGGGGCTGAATTTTGTCAAAGCCCCTCTCTATACTGAGATGACTATGATATTTTGGTCCTTATATCTATTTGATGATTTGCATATGTTAAACCACCCTCATAACCCCTGGTGTAAAAACATCTTGGTCATTATGTACAATCTTTCTAATATGTTGTCAAATATGATTTGCTAACATTTTATAAAGGATTTTTGCATCTACATTCATTAGGAATATTGGTCTGTAGTTTTCTTAAAGTGTCCTTCTTTGGTTTAATATCAGGATGATACTGGCTTTATAGAATGAATTTGGAATTGTTTCCCCCTTTCTGTTTCATGAAATAATTTGAGGAGCACTGGTATTAGTTCTTTAAAAGTTTGGTAGAATCCAGCTGAGAATCCATTTGGTCGTGGGCTTTTTACTTTGCTGGAAGACTTTTCATTACGGCTTCTATCTCATTGCTAGTTATTGGTCTGTTTTCCTGTGTCATTTCGATTCAATTTTGGCAGGACATATGTATCTAGAAATGTCACTTTCTTCTAGATTTTCAAATTTATTTGAGTAGAAGTTTTCGAAATAGTCCCTAATAATCCTCTGGATTTCTGAGATGGCTGTGGCAAAATTTCCTTCTTCATCTCTAATACTTATTTGGATTTTCCTCTTTCTTCTGGTTAGTTTTGCTAAGAAAATACCAATCTTGTTTCTTTTTAAAGAACCGTCTCTTCACTGACCCTTTGTAATTTTTTTTCTCTGCTCTGAATTATTTCCTTCTACTGGTTTTGAAATTTATTTGTTCCTTGTTTTTTAAGGGCCTTGGGATGCATCATTAGTTTGGTTGGGATTTTCCTATGTAGGCTTTCATAGCTATAGATGTTCCTCTCAGAACCATCTTCATAGTGTCCCAGAGGTTCTGGTATTTTTTTTTTAAGGATAAAATTAGTTTTTATTTATAGTCTTATAGTAAAGAGGGAGGCCTTAACTTGCAAGACAATTCTTCCACAGTATGTACAACATACTTTTTATTTCCATGGAATGGAATCAATCACAGACCAAGACTACAGAGTATACACCAGAGATCAGCAAATGCTAGGAACAGAGTGGGAAAAAGACAAAGAAATGGGGCCCAAACACACAAAACCCTTCACTGGGATCTGTTGACCACAGCCAGAACCAGGGCTGGATCACACAATGGAGAGAGGTTCTGGAACAGGAGGAAGTGGGGTGAGGGTGGGGAAAGGGGCCACACTGTGGTGAGGGTTTAGTACCAGGTAAATTGTTCTTGGAATTTATATTACAAAATCAGTTGGCTCTATTTCTTAGAAATACACACGAAAAGAAAGGAAGAATTGATCATTACTTTTTAAAAAAATTTTTTTTAATATTTATTTTTTAGTTTTCGGCAGACACATCTTTGTTGGTATGTGGTGCTGAGGACTGAACCTAGGCCACATGCATGCCAGGCAAGCGCGCTACCACTTGAGCCACATCCCCAGCCCTGATCATTACTTTATGAATCTGTGGCTTTGCAATAACTGGCATCATCAGAAATAGGGACAATTCATTCAGATTCAAATTTCAGTAGCAGGAAATAAATATCAGAACATCATCACTGGCCCTCAATACAAAACCTGTACCCCACTCAATGATCCCTCCCTGTCCCACCCCCAACCACCCCCTACCCCTCCCTGTTGGCTGCGGCTTCTCTGCTGCCATCTCCAGTACATACCACAAGTGTCACTCGGCCCTCCATGCGGCTGGCACTGCAGGCTTACACAGCTGGCTGAGAGAAGCGGGAGTGAAACGTGCCAAGAACTCTGCAAATCTGTCCCCACTTTCCTTTTATACCACAAACTTCAAGGTCTGGTCTTTCAACAAGAGTTAAATAGCTTTATAGGAAAAAAAAAAAAACTTATGAAGGAGAGGGGGTGATTCTGATTACTCCAAACTGGTCACCTTCTCAAAGCAGTTCAGATTCACGAAGTCTATCAAACAAAGGCGAGGGGACCGGGAGGAGAGGCCCAGCAGGACAGGCGACCTCCAGGCACGAGCCCCACGGGGCTGGAGGAGCTGGTGGGGTGGGCAGGACACCCTGTGCTCAGAGGTCCGGCCAGCCGTCTGTCCTCCACAGAAAAAGCTGCCAAGTTGGGGTGTTTTGGTTTAAAAACGTCTGGTGGGGACAGGGAATCCTGAAGGGAAAACATTTTTTAAAAATAGTGGAAACAGGGAAGAAGGAGAGTTGTTGTCCAAGAGCTTCTACGTACAAATAAAAATTAAAAAAAAAAAGAAAAGAAAAATAAAGGGTCTTTTAAATGGTTCTGAGCGTTCTAATGATGAACTGAGAGGAGGATGAGACGACGCAGGACATGGACAGTTTTACTGCTGGCCTGCCCTGTGTGGCTTAGGGGCCTCCATCCGGAGTTTCTTCCCGTTTTGGGGCTCTTCAGGCTCTCGCTCTGAGCCGGAGTCGGAGCCCCCATCAGAGGCAGAGATGGTGCTGCCCCTGGGGTTGGTGTAGAGGCTGTTGTCTGAGCAGGGGTAGTTGGTCTGCAGTTGGGCACTCGACCTCGCCTTCTGCAGTGCACGGACTTGCTGCTCCAGAAGAGCATTCTGCCGCTCGAGGCCGTCAGTATCTTGCTGGTGCGTGTGGTTTTTCCTTTGCATATACTGGATTTCCTCTGTGGCTTTGTCTAGGATTTGGGCCCGGGATGCCTTGTCTCCTTGGAGTGATGGGACCGAGTCCTGCAAACTGTGAAAGCTGTCTTTGATGGGGTCTTTGCGTTTTTGTTCCAGTGCATTATGATGAGCCCGTTTGTCATCTTTGCTCTCCACCTGGATATCGTCCTTATCGCTCCTTTCCTACGGCCCAGGGGCGGCGACAGGGAGGGGGAGGGGTGGAGGGGAGAGGGAAGTCACCGACAACAACAAATGCCCCCCCACACTCTCTCTCACTCGCTCGCTTTCTCTCTGAGGTTCTGGAATTTTGTGTATCAATTCTCATTTAATTTTAAGAATTTTAAAATTTTCCCCAATTTCCTCTATCACCGTTTCATTATTCAAAAGTATACTGTTCAATCTCCATATGTCTTTAGAGTTTCTATAGGTTTTTTTGGGGGGGAGGGGTGTTGATTTCTAATTTCATTTCATTACAGTCAGATAAGATGCAAGAAATTATCACTTTAAAAATTTGTATTTGCTAAGAGTTGCTTTGTGGCCTAAAACATGGTCTGCTTTGGATTAGGTTTTATGAAGGGCTGAGGAAAAAAGTGAATTTGGCTGTTAGATGAAATAGTGTATAGATGTCTACACTCATTTGATTTATAAGTTATAGAGGGTCTTCACTGAATTTGGATGACCTATCATTGAGAAAGGTATGTTGAAATCGTCCAGTATTATTGTACTGGGGTCTGTCTGAGTCTGCAAGTTGAGTAGTGTCTGTTTTATGTAATTAGGTGCACTGATGTTTGGGGCATAAGTATTTACTATCAGAACTTCTTGTTGGATTGATGTCTTTATCAGCATGAACTGACATCCTTTGCCTGATTTTTGGCTTGAAGTCTGCTTTGTTGAATATTAGAGTAGCTACTCTGGCTTGTTTTCAGGTTCCATTTACATGATACAACAATTTCCATTCTTTCACTTTTTGCCTGTGACTGTCTTTGCCTATAAGGTGAGTTTCTTGCAAACAACATATAGTTGGGTGTTATATTTAATCCATTTTGACAGCCTATGTCTTTTAATTGGAGATTTGAGACCATTTACATTCAATGTTGTTATAAAGAGATGTTTAATTCCTACCATTTTTTATTACATTCTCTTTTTTTTTTATTACTAGGAATTGAACTCGGGGGCACTTGACTACCGAGTCACATCCCCAGCTCTATTCTGCATTTTATTTAGAGACAGGGTCTCACTGAGTTGCTTAATGCCTCACTTTTGCTGAGGGTGGCTTTGAACTCGAGATTCTCCTGCCTCAGTCTCCTGGGCCTCTGGGATTACAGGTGTGCACCACCATGCCAGGCTTGATTAATTTCTAATGTTTAATGTGGTTCGGTTTCTCATTTGATTATCTGCTCTTCAAAATGATATTTGTACACTTGCTGTCTCTGGAGTTCTTTTTAAAAAATTTTTGTTGTATTTAAATATTTTTCTCTAGTTCCAGCTTAGAAGTCATTAATTCTTTTAGTTTCTGTTTATCTTATAAGGATATTATTTCCCCTTGATTCTGAAGGGTAGCTATGTTGGATATAGTAATCTTGGTTGATTTTTCTTATGGGGCTTGGAACATAGCATTCCAAGCCCTCCTGGATTGTGCTAGGAAGGCAGGAGTTATTGATGGCTTATTTCTAAAAGTGACCTTCATAAAGGTCACAATGAAATCTTCTCTTTTTTTTAAAGAGAATTTTAATATTTATTTTTAGTTTTTTGCAGACACAACATCTTTGTTTGTATGTGGTGCTAAGGATCCAACCCGGGCTGCACGCATGCCAGGCGAGTGCTCTACCACTTGAGCCACCTCCCTAGCCCAAATCTTCTCTTGAAGTTTTAAAAAAATTCTATCTTTGTTCTGTGCATTAGACATTCTAATTATAACATTCACAGAGACTTCTTTTTTATCTTGTCTATTTGGGGTTCTGAATGAATCCCATGTTTTATGTCCATCCCATTTTCAAGGTTTGGAAAATTGTCTTATTTCACTGAAGAATTTATCCATGCCATTAGTCTGCATCTCACAATGTTCTTTGATTCAAGGGATTTTTAAATTTGAACTCTTAATGTTGTCCCAGAGTTCTTGTATATTCTGGTCATGGTTAATCATTTCCTTTAATGCTGTCTGGATGTTCACAACTGGCTACTTGGTCTTCCAGCTCAAGATTCTGTCCTCGGCATGGTCTACTCTACTAAAGAGGCTTTCAACAGAACATTTTGATTTATTGTATTTCATTTTCAAGAGTTTTGGTTCTTTTTCAATATCTCTATCTCCTATTGAATCTCTCACTCATATCCTATACTGATTTCCTTAATTCATCCAGTTGTTCAAATTCTCTAGTTTCTTGACCATTTTACAATAATTTAAAATTCTCTATCTAATATTTCATTGACTTCTATATCTTTGGAGTCAGTTTCCGGTGACTTATAAGCTTTTGGAGGTGTCATGTTACCTTTTTTTTTTCCCCACAGTTCTTGTAAACCTGGGTCAGGTTTTGTTTTGCTTTTTAGAGTATTTGTTAATTGTTTATTTTCCAAGAAAGACTATTTGTTAGCCTTTCATGTTTTATAGTTCAGGAGCACAAGTCAGTAAAAACTTCTAAGGACCTCAATCCAAAGAAATTCTTTTTATTCCAAAATCACTTTGCACCCCGAAAGATTCCAGCCCTCCTCATCTCCTCAAAATCTTTCATGGAATCATAATTTCTGTAGAAATCTGCATATGCCTTCTTTCTTGACTCGGCCACACCAAAGTTAGAGAGCTGCAACCTCCAGGCAAAAGTGAATGCTCCAACAATATGAAACCACAGCCACTTGGCCAGAAGACCCCGCCTCTGAGGTTTCGCCAAAGCCCTGGAAGCCGTAGCAGTTAGTGTCCTCCACACCAACGTCCTTCCGGGTAGATAGAGAAGTGGACCCCTGTGTCAGGTTTTATGAATCTGTTGAGGTGGATTCTTTTCTATTTTTATGTGCAGGTCTTTTTAGGGCACAACCTTTTCTTGTCAAAGTATTCTGGGATATGAAGTTGTGGTGAATTTTTCTATATACTTTAAAAAATATTTTTAGTTGTAGATGGTCACAATACCTTTGTTAATTTTTATGTGGTGCTGGGGACTGAGCCCAGTGCCTCACTCGTGCTAGGCAAGTGCTCTACTCCTGAGCCACAACCTCAGCCCTCGATATATTTCCAAGTAGGTTTTATAGTATAGTTTCCCAGCTTGTTTTTTTGGTGAAGATTAGTGTATTTTGATAGAGTGTATTGTGTCAGAGGTTGAGGATTCCGCTTTCCTTGTAGGTCTCAAGAGTGCAGTCCTTCTTGTAGGTCTGGCTATGGTGTTGTATACATCAGGGTGTGGGGTATACACCCTCTGATTGCTCTTCATTTAACAGCTATATATTCTAAAGTGATATGTGAATGATCTAGACTGAGACCCATTGTAAGTGTGGTATCCACAAACTTTGTTTTTTGTGTAATTGTGGATGTCCACGAGTGGGACCTGAGGGTCCCTGCTAGACATTCCTACTTGGGGCCTGGTCATTATTTTGGGGGTTTTGTTTTTTTCTGTTCTTTGTATTGAAATATCATTGCTGTTTGAGCATGGTTAGTTTGTGGAGCAAGATACGCCGTCTCTTGGCGGGGTTTAGCTTGGCAGCATTCTCTACTCTCTTAACTTGTATTGTCCCAGTAGGTTCCTGACACCTCACAGAAAAAGGGGGAAACAAAGAATAGCAATATCAGAAGCAAATGATCTACAGCATTAAATACCTGGTGTCTAGTAGGACATCTACAACACTAATTACCACAAAGACAGAAATGGGGGGGTCAGCAACGCCAGCAGCACAAACAATAACTAGCTGTGAACTAGATCTTGCATTAAAGTAAACAGCAGGAGTCAATTGTGCCACCATGGTACAACAGCTGCAACAACATGAATGGTGGGGCAAGTAGTTATATAAACCAAAGGGTTCACTAAAAGAAAAGAAAATGTGATGGGATGGTAAAAGAAAGCTTGGAGTCTGCAAAGATGTGAACAGTGGAGGCAGAAGAGATGTAGCAAGTGATGGCTATAAAGAAGAAAAGTAACTAAGGAAAAGAGAACAGGTGAATTTGGCTATTAGAGGAAGAAAACAAGAAAAATGAGCAAAAATAAATGAACATGAAAACTCTAACCCTTAAAAGACAAAACCAAAATTTCCATTAAAAAATGCTAAAAATGAGGGGGAAAAGAAATATGTATATATACAGCCACAGACCGATCAGCACAGCAAGAACATGCTCTTAATGAAAAACGAAAAACTTGTCTCCACTGAGGTGGCCAACACTGTTGAGCGCTGGGGCTGTGGCTCAGTGGTACAGCACTCCCCTAGCACATGTCTATCTCCACTGGGTTCAATTCTCAGCACCGCATATAAATAAACTAATTAAAGGCACATTGGGGAAGGAAAACTGAGGATGAGGACAGATGATCCCTACCTATCCTTGACTGCCTTTTCATGTCTTCTTGGACTGTGTATTCCTTAGAGCAGGACTGGGGCTGTTACATTCCTCGGTGTCCTCCTGCTGCTCCTCTGCCTCCTAGATCCTCTTCTCCATCCCCCTCCTTCTCGCTGAGCCACTAGCTGGAGTGGCCTAAAACTGAAGCTGGTCAAAATAACTTTCAACTTCCCCTCTCCTCAGTGAAGTGAGGACAGATGAGAAGTACTGTTGCCTGCAGTTCTGTTTAGACCTGATCAGTGCATTCCTGGGTGAGGCTGATGCAGAGTGCTACATGGGGAGTTTGATAACTGGAGCTTGACTCTAATTGGGCCTTTGGGACTTCATTGTGTGGTATTTGCTTTAGAGAGATTAGATCAACATGCCCCAGGGCCAGGTGGATGCCCAGCTCCATTGGGAGTCTGGATCTCAGTATCCTCCTAAGAATTGTACTCAGAGCAGGGGGGCGGGGGGCAGTCCTCCACAGGTCTCTCTCTGCTGGCCATGAATACAGCCTTTACAGGCTTAGTCCATGAGTTGTTCACACCCACCTGGTTCCTGAAACCTCTGCAGCTGGTCATGTGACACGCGAAGGGAAAGTAAGTTGCACTCTTCTTGACTCTGATTTAACCCTCCTCGGTACAGTCTTCTCTGTTTCAATCATGTTCTCCTAGGTACACACTAGGCTGCACAGTAGTTGCTTGCTGGGACAGTATGGCAATGTTTTGTGGTCTGCTGGGATTCCCACAGCACCAAGCGTCAGTATAGTCTTCTCTAGATGATGGACCTCAGCTGTCCCCTTGCCAGTTGAGAAACAAAGAACAGTTTTTAAATACCAGTTCACAGCGCAGCCTCTGGATCAGGATCTTCAGGTTGCTTCTGTTCTACAGGTTTTCCACAACAAATTTGTCCTTTGTTATCCTTCCTCACTGCAGTGAACAAGTGCCACTGTGACAACTGGCTCAGCTCCAGTGTACTTTCTTGATTGTTCAATGCACCCAAATTTCTGAGTCTCTAAGAGCTTCTGATGGTCTGATATTGAATTTCGGTGAATTCCCTCTTTCACTTGCCTCACTGAGAAAGCAGTGCTCCCACTACTTGAATCCTGAGTCACTGAGTAAGTGGACTTGCAGCCTTGCTCTGTTCTTCCGTCTTTCTCTCCCTTTTGGAATGTCTGTGGTGCATTAGTTGATATGCATGATGGTGTCCCACAGGCTCCTCAACCTGTTCATTTTCTTCTTTCAGATGGGGTAATTTCAATGGCCTTGCTTTTGAATATCTCTAGTGAACTTTCCACTTCAGTTTTTTGAACTTTCCACTTCAGTTTTTGTACTTTTCAGCTCCAGGATTTGTTTCCTTTCTGTACTTTGTTTACTGAGATTCTTGTTTTCTACAGTTTTCTTTACTCATTCAGCATAGTTGAATTAATATCTTTTACTATTAATTGCAATGTCAGAGCATCCTTAGGAGTGTTTTTTTAAATGTAGAAGTGATGTTTCTATCAAGTTCTTTGTTTTTATTAGATTATACATTTGTTTCTTTGTTTCTTTTTTAGCACTGGACATTCAGAGTATTATAGAACTGTAATTCTAGAAATCTGATGGCCCTACTCCTCAGGGATTAATGGTTAGAGTCTTCCATGTGTGAATTTTTCAAATAGTTCTATTTTATTCCTTTTGTGTGTGATCATTGAAACTTACCTTCAGTTGTCTCTGTAGTAAAAATTATTTGAATGTCTAGATTCAGAAAAAAAGGAGAGTTCTGTCCCTCTCAGATTTTCTGGTGTTCTGCTGGAGAAGCTGCTTGGATAGAAGAAACCAAAACCAATGCAAATGTCTCTGCCGGTCTCTCGGGGCACTACTAGACCAACAATCTGACAGGGCCCCAAATTCTTGGAAGATCTGTATCTCACTCTTGGTTCACACAATGGAGGTAGAAAACTTAAGTAAATCTATAGATGTTTACTGTTAAATGGATTATAAGTCATATTTATTGAATCTTTGCATACATTATAAATTTTAAATTATATTAAACTTGATTGCTTTATGATTTCACTTTTCTGGTCAGGCAGATGGGTGTGCAAATTGATCATCTTTGGGATACTACCAAACTTGGTCAGAGCTTGTTTGTGGAATTTATAGAGGTTGCTCTTTCTCCAGTTTGCTCATGTGCCTAGACATGGATAGTTACGGAGTCTACAAAAAAGACTTATAGTACTTTACCTCTTTATTGCCTAAATATGGGGAATTTTCATACATAAAAGCTTTTCAACCTAAGTCCTTAGCCTGTGACTCCATGTAGCATGACAATTTGACATATTTCTTGCTGAGGAGACCAAATATGAGTCATTCAAGTACCAAATTTTGTCAGTGCATCATAGGATTGCCCAAATCCTTGGTTTTTGAGGTACCAAATTTCATTTTTTTGCATGAATATTAACTTGTTCTTGATATATTTATATTAAATGAATTAATTTCTTATATACAACTAATAGTTCACAATTCCCTTTTAACTCCAGCATAGCAACCTCTGCTCTTTAATAGAAGTTTTTCCAAGACTTATTTTTAATACCATTATTTATGTCATTGTATTTAACCCTCCTTGATGTTTTTTATTTCTCCTACTTTTTTCCTGGATTTTTTAGGACTTCCTATTATATCCACTGTTGACTTATTAGATACAGACTTTTTTTTTTTCCTGTCGTTGTTCTGGGGTTTACGATAGATCCCTTCAACCTTCCACAGGCAACCATTAAAGAATATTGAACCACATCACATATAATAACCCTACAACCTCTTCCCTCATCCTCTTGCCCTTAATGCAGCTGTCATATCTTCTACCTTTGTTATAAACTTCACCACATCAGGTCATAATTTTTGTTTTAGAAATGGTCTCTAAAGAAATTAAAGATGAAAAAATGTTCACATTTACCTACATATTTCCCATTTCCAGTGCTCAATATTTATTTGTAAGTTTCTCTCTGGCATTGTTTTTCTTCCCTGTGAAGAGCTTTAGCTTTTCTTATAATAAATGTCTGTTGGTGATAAATTCTGATCTGCTCACTAGATGATAGTGTTTTCTTAATTTTAAATTTACTTGACAAAGATTTTTGGGGGCATAAAATTCTATGTTGAGTTGTCTTCTTTAGATCTGTAAGGATCTGTAATTCCCCCCTCTATAATTCCATTGTCTTCTGGTCTGCATAATTTCTTATTATAAAAAGTCTTCAGTATTATTATTGGGTACAGGGGATTGAACTTGGGGACACTCGACCACTGAGCCACATCCCCAGCCCTATTTTGTGTTTTATTTAGATTCAGGGTCTCACTGAGTTGCTAAGCACTCAGTTGCTTTTGCTGAAGCTGGCTTTAAACTCGCGATCCTCCTGTCTTAGCCTCCTGAGCCACTGGTATTAGAGGCATGTGCCATGACACCTTGCTCATCATTTCATTTTCATCTAACATGTATTTATTCTTTGCTCTAAAATTTTTTGTTTGCTAGTTTTCAAAAACTCAATGTTTGAGTCTCAATATGTTTCTAAGATCTGTGAGTTTATACTTTTCATTTGGAAAATGATCAGTAAGTCCTTTTTCATCATGATTGAGATATAATTGCCCACTTAATAGTATTTCACAGGTAAAAAAGATCTGATTCTTTAAAATTTTCTTTTGTACCACTTAAAAATTTAAGCTCTACACTTTATATGTAATTTAATGTTTTAATTCACACATAGTGAACTGATTACTACAATCAACAAATTAACATCCATCTCTGTACAGGGTTACCATTTTTATTTTTGTGGTGGGGACACTTTGAAGTCTGAGTAAATTCCAAGCATAAAATCAGTAATATTGGTGTCCCTAAACTATATTAAGGTCTTAGAACCAATTCAGCCTGCATAACTGGAACTCTGGGTCCTTGATGTACATCTTCCCTTCCCCTCCACCCTGGTAGCCGCCATTCTACTCCCTGCTTCTGTAAATGACTAAAATT